TCAACGCTGTCATCAGCTGAGTATACTCTAATGTCTAATAAGATTTCCTTCATATTTTAAACATTGTCCGCACTCTGAGGGTGGAAAACCGTCCTACTAATTGTGAATTCTCTGATGCTGAACAAGCTGTCTTTTCTCAATAAAACATTTTCCGCACACGGAGCACGGAAAAGGACGCTCACCCGTGTGACTTCTGTGGTGTATTAGAAGTTTTGCTTTCTCAGTGAAACATTTTCCGCAGTCTGAACAGGAGAAAGGACGCTCACCTGTGTGAGTTCTCTGATGTGCAGCGAGGCCTCCTTGGTAAGTGAAACATTTCCCACATGCTGAACAGGAATAAGGACGTTCACCTGTGTGACTTCTCTGGTGTTTAACAAGGCTTCCTTTCAAAGTGAAACATTTCCCACACTCTGAACACGCATGAGGACGCTCACCAGTGTGACTCTTCTGGTGTGTGAGAAGTGTCTTTTTCAAAATGAAACATTTTCCACACACTGAGCATGAAAAGGGACGTTCACCCGTGTGACTTTTCTGGTGATTAAGAAGGTCTCCTTTCGCAGTGAAAGAAAACCCGCACTCTAAACACGAAAAAGGGCGCACGCCAGTGTGACTTCTCTGGTGTTTAACAAGATTTCCTTTTTGACTAAAACTTTTCCCACACTCTGAACATGAAAAAGGACGCTCACCTGTGTGAATTCTCTGGTGCAGAAGAAGTTTTACTTTATCAGTGAAACACTTTCCACACTCTGAACATGAATAAGGACGCTCACCCGTGTGAGTTCTATGGTGCAGAAGAAGGTTTCCCTTATCAGCAAAACGCTTCCCACACACCGGACATGAATAGGGACGCTCACCTGTGTGAGTTTGCTCATGTCTACGAAGGCATCTTTTCTCACTGAAACTTTTCCCACACTCTGCACATGAGAATGGACGATCACCCGTGTGACGTCTTTGGTGTCTAACAAGGTTTCCTTTTAAAGTGAAACATTTCCCACACTCTGAGCATGAGAAAGGACGCTCACTTGTATGACTTTTCTGGTGTGTAAGAAAGTCTTTGTTTTCTGTGAAAGATTTCCCACACACTGAACATGACAATGAACTCTCTCCTGTGTGATCTCCTTCATGGCTTGTAGAAGATTCCTTAGGATTAGATGGATCTGTTGATCTCTCAGCACTCTGAGATCTCAGATGGATATCTGGAGTAACAGTCTGTGATTGATCAGAATATTCCTCAGGATTAGAGGGATCCATTGATGTCTCTGAATGGGAAGGTCTGTGATGTCTATTATGAGTAATGGGATTCACTCCCGGAGAATGTTTGAGGTCATTATATTCTGGAGATAACATAAGATGTCCCTCAGAGGTATTCCTGTTCCCGGCACAGTGTCCGTCTGTAGGAGAGAAAGATCCAAATATAATGTTACAGACCTACTGAAGACCAGAGATGGACCTTCATATGGTGTACAGTATCTCCTCATTTGTTGGTCACATGACGTTATATTGAGGAAAGGAGATGGACCTTCATATGGTGTACAGTATCTCCTCCTCATTTGTTGGTCACATGACGTAATATTGAGGAATGGAGATGGACCTTCATATGGTGTCCAGTATCTCCTCCTCATTTGTTGGTCACATGATGTTATATTGGGGAATGGAGATGGACCTTCATATGGTGTACAGTACCTCCTCCTCATTTGTTGGTCACATGACGTTATATTGAGGAAAGGAGATGGACCTTCATATGGTGTACAGTATCTCCTCCTCATTTGTTGGTCACATGACGTAATATTGAGGAATGGAGATGGACCTTCATATGGTGTCCAGTATCTCCTCCTCATTTGTTGGTCACATGATGTTATATTGGGGAATGGAGATGGACCTTCATATGGTGTACAGTATCTCCTCCTCATTTGTTGGTCACATGACGTTATATTGAGGAATGGAGATGGACCTTCATATGGTGTACAGTATCTCCTCCTCATTTGTTGGTCACATGACGTTATATTGAGGAATGGAGATGGACCTTCATATGGTGTACAGTATCTCCTCCTCATTTGTTGGTCACATGACGTTATATTGGGGAATGGAGATGGACCTTCATATGGTGTCCAGTATCTCCTCCTCATTTGTTTCTATTTGGGATACGACACTTCCACTTCAATTATTGGGAACATTGGGTGGTGGAGAAGGTTCATTGATGAAGTTCTTACTGTCAGAGCTTTTTTTTTTTAATCCTTTCCTTAGTAAAGGGAGGTGAAGTTCTCGACGTTGATGAAGGACAAAGGAGATGTCACCTGTCTACATTAACCCCACATGGGTCCAAGAGCTTTGTTAGTCTACAGGAAGAATTCCAACTTACTTCCTCAGAAATCTTACGATACATTGAAGGGAAACAATACATTGTGAGAACACTCAAACCTAGTTCTCGTGTTCCTTCCTCACTCCCCACAGTCAAGTCCAAATTATTTATTGCCCCCCACTTCCAGGACATGGCATTTCTCTCCTACCTCCCTCCCCTCCATTCTATCACCCTTCCCACATATATGTCTCAATGGGAGGATTTGGGCAACATCTTGAATTGGAGGTCTTAGATTTAGCAAACCGCAAATTGAGTTACCCCAATCTGAAGGCTCTGGAAGAAAACTACAAAAGGCACTTTTGATGGTACATTCTACCAAACCCCGGGTGCGAAAATTCTCCCTAGACAACTCTTTGCACTGCTTCCAGGGATGTGATGAAATTGGTGCCTTCAACATGTATGGTGGACATGTCTGTAGGTACGTACTCTTTGGTCCATCACCTAAAAAAGCTTTTTCAGTTTAGGAAAGACACTATGGAGGCTCTACTCCTCGAGTGACCAGAGGGAATCACGAGCAGGTCCATCTCTGGTCTTCAGTTTAAGCTAATGTGGTTCATGTTTGCTGCAACCAAGCAGACCAAAAAAAAAACCATGGCTATCCTCTACCCTGATTCCACAAGAGGTCAAATCCAGGGTACAGCAGATGGTGACTATCACCAAAATGACTGCTGTACTGAAAGATAAAGTTGTCCTCTTTGAGAAGTTGTGGTCCCCGTGGATCCAATACTAGCTACCATAGTTACTTACTACCATCAGTTACATAGTTACTCGTATTTGTTACTTACTTGTGTCCACTTGTAGAGAAGATTCCTCCTGTTTATTTTCCAGAATCATCTCCCCCTCCTCCGTAGACTGCCGAGCTCCTCCCACCAACGTCTCTTCTTCTTCCTCTTTAATATCATTATGTGTTGCACCCTAAACCCCAAAATTATAGAATACACCTTCAAAAAAAAGGACAAGAGAATACATAGACGAATGTCATCTCATACTTCAGCATGATTATTGAGCTCCCGTCCTTCAGAACCACCTACCTGATCATGGTGGTGGACGGTGAGATCTTCCTGGGTGGGATCCCGGGAATACAGGGGGCGGGGACATCTCTCTTGTGGGTTCCTCTTACTGGATCCATCTGTAGGAAACACACACAATGACTGAATACATTGTTTCTATGTGTGTATCAGATGGGGGATGTAGGCGGAGCCTCCGTACTGCTCTCTCCTCTTACCCGGTGATGTGAGGGGCGGGGCATTCTCCATCACCACGTCCTTGTAGAGATCCCGGTGTCCTTCTAGATACTCCCACTCCTCCATGGAGAGATAGACAGAGACCTCCTGACACCTTATAGGAACCTGACACACACAATGATACCGTCACCACCCAGACACGCCCCTTGTCTGTTCCTGGATCATGTCCCAGAATCCCAGGCACCGCTCACCTCTCCCGTCACCACCCAGACACGCCCCTTGTCTGTTCCTGGATCATGTCCCAGAATCCCCGGCACCGCTCACCTCTCCCGTCACCACCCAGACACACCCCTTGTCTGTTCCTGGATCATGTCCCAGAATTCCCGGCACCGCTCACCTCTCCCGTCAGCAGCTCCATCATCTTCTTGATGACCTCCAGAATTTTCTTGGCTCTGTTTTCCTCTTTTGTCAGGAGGTGAGGTGGAGGCTCTGTGATGGTTGATGTCCTCTGAAGACATCTGTTGGGTGTTATCGGCTCACCAGATATTTTCTTCACTATCTTAAAATCCTGAGTAATGATAGAAAGTAACAATTATCACTACAGACTTCCCAGAATCCTCCTCACATCTTCAGTAAGGTCGTGGTTTAGCTACAGAGAATTATGTCATGCAACCTCTCAGAATCCTCCTCACCTCTCCGGTCAGCAGGTAGATGATCTCCAGGGTGAGGTCTAATATCCTCTCAGTCATGTAACTTTGGTCTTCATCCATCTTCAGTGATGTGGTCATGTGATCTATTCAAGACACTGCTCCCTGTAGACAAATAATAAACACTACATTAGTATTATCTGGACTGTACCGGGATGAATAATGTTTGCACAGAGTTCCTCCCTAGTTCTCCATAATGTTTCTCCTTAGTTCTCCATAATGTTCCTCCATAGTTCTCCATCATGTTCCTCCATAGTGCTCCATCATGTTCCTCCATAGTGCTCCATCATGTTCCTCCATAGTTCTTCATCATGTTCCTCCATAGTTCTCCATCATGTTCCTCCACAGTTCTCCATCATGTTCCTCCATAGTTCTCCATAATGTTCCTCCCTAGTTCTACATAATGTTCCTTCATAGTTCTCCATATTCTTAGTATTATCTGGACTGTACCGGGATGAATAATGTTTGCACAGAGTTCCTCCCTAGTTCTCCATAATGTTTCTCCCTAGTTCTCCATAATGTTTATCCCTAGTTCTCCAACATGTTCTTCCATAGTTCTCCATAATGTTCCTCCATAGTTTTCCATCATGTTCCTCCATAGTTTTCCATCATATTCCTCCATAGTTCTCCATCATGTTCCTCCATAATGTTCCTCCCTAGTTCTACATCATGTTCCTCCATAATTCTCCATCATGTTCCTCCATAGTTCTCCATAATGTTCCTCCCTAGTTCTACATAATGTTCCTCCCTAGTTCTACATAATGTTCCTCCCTAGTTCTACATCATGTTCCTCCATAGTTCTCCATATTCTTCCTCCATAGTTCTCCATAATGTTCCTTCATAGTTCTCCATAATGTTCCTTGATAGTTCTCCATAATGTTCCTCCATAGTTCTCCATATTCTTCCACCATAGTTCTCCGAATTGTCCCTCCATAGTTCTCCATCATGTTCCTCCAGAGTTCTGACATCTCAGGTGGCTTCTTGTACCGTATCTCAGGTCTTATTTATCAATGTAACCGGAAGAAAACCAGAGATTCCCTTTAATACCCAACTGTAGTGATATCTTATCTCTGGATGGAGAGGGGACTGGGATCTTCTGGTGAAGACTCTTCTGTCTCTATTGGTTTCGTCTCCAGTTGGGTTTCGTAGAGAAGGTATCACCCGGTAGATATTGTATTGGCGGGAATACATGATTACTACATAACACTGATCATGTATGATGGAGGAGATGTAGACGTGACGTTGTTCTGTGTGCACGGAGGCCGGGAATGTCTATATTGTGAGCTCTGTCCTATGAATGTCACTGGACACGGCATGTGCAGAGGACATTGATGTCACCCCGATGGCCAACTCCACCAAAAAGGTTTTGGGGACATCTGTGCTGTGTACAGTTGGATAAATGGCTCTATATTTATGAATATTCTGAGAATATAACACAATATAACCTCCTTATGTCTGTTGTAGAATCTCCTAGAGAAGAAAAAAACAGTGAGGGGGTTACTAGGCGTGAAAATAACATAACATCTTATTACCTCCTCTGCTGCCAGTTGCAGCAATGTCTCCTGTCCACTTCCTCCCAACTCACCTCTGACCCGGAACTTCCTGTCTGTATGTGACATCACTTCCTGTCTTTAACTCATATCACTTTCTGTCTCCCTTCCACAGACAGTAGTGGAGATTGGCTCCTTTGTGGAGATAATGGAGTCCAAGGTCAACAATATTCTTCGATACGCTGAGAGCGGCTTCTTGGTGCGTTCTGCGGGCTTTTTGGTCCACAAAACACCCAGGTCAAAGTCCCAAACAGTGAAAAAAATATTTTTGAATATAATTCGATGGCGTCTTAAAATTGATAAGTAAGTGAAATCCAAGAATGGAACCGTAAAATGTAACAGAACGTTGTATTACGAGATCGGATATGTCCAGGTAACAATGACGTGTGGGAAAGGAGCGTATGGTCAGGAGTGCGGAGAAGGTATTTCAGGGTATATAAAGAAATAGGAGTGAAATGTGTGAGAGGACGGGATCCACTTTTGATAGGTTTAGTTACTTATAGGGTTATTCATAAAAAGGGTGAAGAGTTTGGAGAAGGCCGGAGAAGTGAACAATCTAGGACAACATAGCTGATTTGGACATATTCTCCAATTCCGCTCACTTTCCAGTTCAGCGATGTTGTCCTAGATGGTTCACCTCTTCCGGCCTTCTCCAAACCCTTCACCCTTTTGTGAATATCCCTGTTAGTAATTTATTTTACTGTGACAGGTTCTCTTTATGGAGCCTTTAGACCCCTGATGCCTCCTTGGCAAAGGATTAGGATCGGGAACAAAGTGTCTTCTCTGGCTGTGTTCCACCATCCCTGTATTGAGTTCCCAGGTCTGTACACCTGCTTGGTCCATTATGAGGGTCTCCCACCATCCCTGTGCTGAGTTCCCAGGTCTGTACACCTGCTTGGTCCATTATGAGGAGCTCCCACCATCCCTGTGCTGAGTTCCCCCGATCTGTACACCTCCCGTGCCCATTATGAGGGGCTCCCGCCATCGCTGTGCTGAGTTCCCAGGTCTGTACACCTGCTGTGCCCATTATGAGGGTCTCCCACCATCCCTGTGCTGAGTTCCCAACCGGGATGAATAATGTTTGCACAGAGTTCCTCCCTAGTTCTCCATAATGTTTCTCCTTAGTTCTCCATAATGTTCCTCCATAGTTCTCCATCATGTTCCTCCATAGTGCTCCATCATGTTCCTCCATAGTGCTCCATCATGTTCCTCCATAGTTCTTCATCATGTTCCTCCATAGTTCTCCATCATGTTCCTCCACAGTTCTCCATCATGTTCCTCCATAGTTCTCCATAATGTTCCTCCCTAGTTCTACATAATGTTCCTTCATAGTTCTCCATATTCTTAGTATTATCTGGACTGTACCGGGATGAATAATGTTTGCACAGAGTTCCTCCCTAGTTCTCCATAATGTTTCTCCCTAGTTCTCCATAATGTTTATCCCTAGTTCTCCAACATGTTCTTCCATAGTTCTCCATAATGTTCCTCCATAGTTTTCCATCATGTTCCTCCATAGTTTTCCATCATATTCCTCCATAGTTCTCCATCATGTTCCTCCATAATGTTCCTCCCTAGTTCTACATCATGTTCCTCCATAATTCTCCATCATGTTCCTCCATAGTTCTCCATAATGTTCCTCCCTAGTTCTACATAATGTTCCTCCCTAGTTCTACATCATGTTCCTCCATAGTTCTCCATATTCTTCCTCCATAGTTCTCCATAATGTTCCTTCATAGTTCTCCATAATGTTCCTTGATAGTTCTCCATAATGTTCCTCCATAGTTCTCCATATTCTTCCACCATAGTTCTCCGAATTGTCCCTCCATAGTTCTCCATCATGTTCCTCCAGAGTTCTGACATCTCAGGTGGCTTCTTGTACCGTATCTCAGGTCTTATTTATCAATGTAACCGGAAGAAAACCAGAGATTCCCTTTAATACCCAACTGTAGTGATATCTTATCTCTGGATGGAGAGGGGACTGGGATCTTCTGGTGAAGACTCTTCTGTCTCTATTGGTTTCGTCTCCAGTTGGGTTTCGTAGAGAAGGTATCACCCGGTAGATATTGTATTGGCGGGAATACATGATTACTACATAACACTGATCATGTATGATGGAGGAGATGTAGACGTGACGTTGTTCTGTGTGCACGGAGGCCGGGAATGTCTATATTGTGAGCTCTGTCCTATGAATGTCACTGGACACGGCATGTGCAGAGGACATTGATGTCACCCCGATGGCCAACTCCACCAAAAAGGTTTTGGGGACATCTGTGCTGTGTACAGTTGGATAAATGGCTCTATATTTATGAATATTCTGAGAATATAACACAATATAACCTCCTTATGTCTGTTGTAGAATCTCCTAGAGAAGAAAAAAACAGTGAGGGGGTTACTAGGCGTGAAAATAACATAACATCTTATTACCTCCTCTGCTGCCAGTTGCAGCAATGTCTCCTGTCCACTTCCTCCCAACTCACCTCTGACCCGGAACTTCCTGTCTGTATGTGACATCACTTCCTGTCTTTAACTCATATCACTTTCTGTCTCCCTTCCACAGACAGTAGTGGAGATTGGCTCCTTTGTGGAGATAATGGAGTCCAAGGTCAACAATATTCTTCGATACGCTGAGAGCGGCTTCTTGGTGCGTTCTGCGGGCTTTTTGGTCCACAAAACACCCAGGTCAAAGTCCCAAACAGTGAAAAAAATATTTTTGAATATAATTCGATGGCGTCTTAAAATTGATAAGTAAGTGAAATCCAAGAATGGAACCGTAAAATGTAACAGAACGTTGTATTACGAGATCGGATATGTCCAGGTAACAATGACGTGTGGGAAAGGAGCGTATGGTCAGGAGTGCGGAGAAGGTATTTCAGGGTATATAAAGAAATAGGAGTGAAATGTGTGAGAGGACGGGATCCACTTTTGATAGGTTTAGTTACTTATAGGGTTATTCATAAAAAGGGTGAAGAGTTTGGAGAAGGCCGGAGAAGTGAACAATCTAGGACAACATAGCTGATTTGGACATATTCTCCAATTCCGCTCACTTTCCAGTTCAGCGATGTTGTCCTAGATGGTTCACCTCTTCCGGCCTTCTCCAAACCCTTCACCCTTTTGTGAATATCCCTGTTAGTAATTTATTTTACTGTGACAGGTTCTCTTTATGGAGCCTTTAGACCCCTGATGCCTCCTTGGCAAAGGATTAGGATCGGGAACAAAGTGTCTTCTCTGGCTGTGTTCCACCATCCCTGTATTGAGTTCCCAGGTCTGTACACCTGCTTGGTCCATTATGAGGGTCTCCCACCATCCCTGTGCTGAGTTCCCAGGTCTGTACACCTGCTTGGTCCATTATGAGGAGCTCCCACCATCCCTGTGCTGAGTTCCCCCGATCTGTACACCTCCCGTGCCCATTATGAGGGGCTCCCGCCATCTCTGTGCTGAGTTCCCAGGTCTGTACACCTGCTGTGCCCATTATGAGGGTCTCCCACCATCCCTGTGCTGAGTTCCCCCAGTCTGTACACCTCCCGTGCCCATTATGAGGGGCTCCCGCCATCTCTGTGCTGAGTTCCCAGGTCTGTACACCTGCTGTGCCCATTATGAGGGTCTCCCACCATCCCTGTGCTGAGTTCCCGGGTCTGTACACCTGCTGTGCCCATTATGAGGAGTTCCCCCATTCCTGTGCTGAGGTTCATGGATATACGTTGGGTTTGTCCCACAAGGGGAAGGTGGAGACAACTCTTCAAAGGCCATATATCTCTAGTTAACTGTGTCAGAAACCTCTGAGAAGGTATTTCATAGGATAGTTTGGACCTTCAAGCATTTGGTCTTCCACCATCCGGGTTTGGGAGAGAAAATGTTGTCCTGCATTTCCGCTTGATATGGAAATCTTCCGGCTGCAATTAAAGTTCATATTATAGTCTCCTCTGGCTTTGAAATCTCCAATGGAATGAGGCAAGGAGGCCACGTGTCCCCGGTGTTGTTTGTTCTGGTATTGGGAGTCTTGCTGAAGAAAACCAGACAGGATCTAGATATTTCGGGCATCTCAGTGGGCTCCTCGTCCCAGAAGTTGAAGCTTTTCCAGATGTTTAGTTCTTTATGACCCAACTTCATATCTCCTGAAGTAATCTTCTGAAGAATTGGAAGGAATCCAGGACCAGGACTTTTATGTGGGGAAGCTGGAGATCCTTCCAGTTACTATTCAGGTGATTACAGATCCTTCTCCTTCACATTGCAGACTTGTGTCATCGGATACTTAAAGCCAAGCCTCGGGGAATGTGACTTGTTTCTAATGAATGCCCTGGCCCTGTTCAATACAATTTGGAGACCTCCTAGGGCCAGTGCCCTAACTAGAATGTAGGGAAGCAAAGGAGAAACTGTGGACCTCCAAGATAAAACCCTAGCGGGAAGGACTCCTGAACATACCCCATGGCTGTCCAAACACCACAGAGGGCTGGTGGATACAACCTCCCTGCTGGTGGATACAACCTCCCCGCTGGTGGATACAACCTCCCCGCTGATGGATACAACCTCCCCGCTGGTGGATACAACCTCCCCGCTGATGGATACAACCTCCCCGCTGGTGGATACAACCTCCCCGCTGATGGATACAACCTCCCCGCTGGTGGATACAACCTCCCCGCTGATAGATACAACCTCCCCGCTGGTGGATACAACCTTCCCTGATATCAAGAAATACTTTAAAAATCTGGGTCTCCCTAAGTAAAGATGGCACATGGGCACCTTCTCTGTCACCACGGCCACCATTAGGTTTTCCAATTCTTGTTCCTTTAGAGTTCTTCATCATTTGGGCCTACAGAGAAATCGGATGGTTCCACTTAGTTGAAGGCACACAACTGAAACCATTAGACGCAGTCAGCAGAGAATGAACCATCCCCTTTAGACGTCTGGAAGCACACAAAGCTATCCAATGTTTCTCGAGGTTTGAGGAACCAGGTTCGGTCAGGAAACCAACTATCCCCATTTTTAAACCCAACAAGGAGATTCCAAGTGGCTAAACCTCTTGGATAGAGCTCCAGGCCACCCCTGAATGGACATTTTACAATGTCCTATTACAATGGAATGTAATAGGACATTCTCAGACACACTGATATATAAAACTACCAAACTGGCCGATACCTCCTCAATCCATTCTAGAACATAGGAGGCCTGTTACAGACGACTCTCCAGGAGGTATGGAGTTCCCGAGAGACTCTTGAAGATATCTCATGCCTTGGTGTCACCTACATTCCCCACACTGCGAGACACTTTCATTCCCTCCATAAGCAGCACTTCAGGCTTCCTCTTGTGGCCAATGACACCATATTCGCATGTATCCTAAAGGACCATGTCCATTTAAAGGATGTGTCCATGTGTCCGTCACAACATCTGCTTCTAGGTCCTTTTCCCATGCCCTTGTTTTTTAGCCTTTTTCTTCTTTGTAATGACTTCTCCTTGACCAACCTCCGCCCCATGGTTTCCACCAACACCCACTGTGGCACTAGAAGGCTTATCTGCTTCTTCATGTATGGTTTAGTCACTGTGTGATGGAACAAGTTAAAACTAGGGGTCATTATGAAGTCCAAACCTCTGTGACGGGTTCCTTGGTGGAACACCAGCTGGCACGTAGACTCCACAACCTGGGCAGTCCCACGTTGGATTCGCTTCATTCACCTCGGTGACACTCTGAGGATTGGTGGAAGGGAGGTGAGCACGGGGTTATCTATATTCATTGGTGGTGGAACTGTCCATTCACCAGAACCTTTTGGGTTCCTACAGGTGGCCTAATTGAAAAGGAGACACTTCCTCATGTACCTGATGACCCTCAAGTGGTCGTGTTTCAAGCTTCTCCTCGTCTAGAGGTCAACATTGTCCACACCTTCTAAATGCTGGACAAAGACTGGAGATCGCATTGGGCGCCTACAGAAGTTCAACGGATGAGCAAGGTAGACCTAAATTATGGAAGAAGAGGAATGGACTCATCAACTCAACGACCCGTATGATGGGTTTTCCAGAAGCTGGGCTGTCTGGATAAACTTTATTAACTAGAGAAATATCAAAGCATAGACAGGAGCAGAATTTGGATACAATCACCCATGGAACTCGTCAGATCCATAACTCATCCAGATACATAAATATCAAACTTTATAAGTACAAAGACACCGGGCAAGAAACATTGACACATCCCTTTAGACCCCTCCCCCTCCCCGGTTCATGTAACTGTTCATTATTGATACATGTGAATGTAAGGAACGGTTGGATGGCACACATGGCTCTAAAAAAAAAATAACGCCTTGATCTCATCAACCACAGAGACTAGGAACCCTTCTTCAGGGGCCCGACATATAACATACTCCCACCTTCCTCGATCTCCCTCACAAACCAGGACCAGCAGAACTACACCTATCCGGACTTATAATACTTTACCCTTTATACCCTCCCTTACCCCCACTTCCCTTCCCATTTATTCCAGTGCCCCTCCCACTCACCTTCTCATTTATCCAGTGCCCCTCCCACACACTTTCTCATTTATCCAGTGCCCCTCCCACACACTTTCTCATTTATCCAGTGCCCCTCCCACACACCTCATTT